CCTGCTCCCCCGGGCCTGGCCGCTCCCAGCCTGGCAGCCGCTGCTCCGGGCCTGGCCGCACCAGCCCCGCCTGCTCCCGCGGGCCTGGCCGCTCCCAGCCTGGCAGCCGCTGCTCCGGGCCTGGCCGCACCCGACCCGGCTGCTCCCCCGGGCCTGGCCGCTCCCAGCCTGGCAGCCGCTGCTCCGGGCCTGGCCGCACCAGCCCCGCCTGCTCCCGCGGGCCTGGCCGCTCCCAGCCTGGCAGCCGCTGCTCCGGGCCTGGCCGCACCAGCCCCGCCTGCTCCCCCGGGCCTGGCCGCTCCCAGCCTGGCAGCAAGAATTAGACTTACAAGTCCAGGAAGCACACAGAACTCCAAACAAAAGGAATCCAAAGAAGACCACACCAAGACACATCATAATTAAAATTCCAAGAGCAAAAGACAGAGAGAGAATATTAAAAGCAGCAAGAGAAAAGCAGGTAGTTACCTATAAAGGAGCACCCATACGATTGTCAGCTGATTTCTCAACAGAAACCATGCAGGCCAGACGGGAATGGCAAGAAATATTCAAGGTGATGAATAGCAAGAACCTACAGCCAAAAATAATCTACCCAGCAAAGCTATCACTCAGAATCAAAGGCCAGATAAAGAGCTTCACTAATAAAAAAAAGCTAAAGGAGTTCATCACCGCCAAACCAGAATTATATGAATTGCTGAAGGGGGTTCTTTCGGAAGAGAAAGTAAATAAAGATAAAAACTATGAACAACAAATATCTAACTATCAACAAGTGAATCTAAAAACCAAGGGAATTAAAAAAAAATCTGATGAATAATATTAATTGGTGAATATAATAGAATCAGAGGTATGGAAGGGGAGTGAACTGACGATTCTCGGGGAAAAGGGGAGAGGGGGGTGTGGGAAGAGACTGAACATAAACTGTGCACCTATGGATGAGAATAATGGGGAGTGGGGAAGGGCAGAGGGTGGGGTGGGAACCTGGTGGAGGGGTGCAATGGGGGAGGGGGGGAAATGAGTAACATTTGTAATAATATGAACAATAAAGATTTATTAAAAAAAAAAAAAAAAAAAGAGTCTGATGTTAGCCCTGATGTTGGGTGTGGCTCAGATGATTGAAACCTGGGTATGTGCCCTGACCAGGAGTTGCCAGTTCAACTCCTGGTCAGGGCACATACCCAGGTAGCAGATTCAGTCCCTGGAGTCAGGGTGTGTGTGGGAGGCAACGGATTGATGTTTCACTCTCACATCGATGTTCTCTCCCCCCACTTCCTTACTCTCTCTAGAAATCAATGGGAAAATTAATCTCAGGCAAGGATTAACAACAAAACAAACACTGGCCATGTGTATGTCATCTCATATGCATGGCCTCTTTAGGAATCAGTGATCATGCATTCATTAGGAGATTACACTTTGAGAGAAAAAAACAGATGGAAGATCAGGGAGTGACTAGGAATAGTGCACTGTGTTGAGGGTGATAGTTTTCCCACTAATGCACTGAAGGCAAGGGCAGACGTGTGAGGGTCAGGAAAAACATTCTGGATAGTAGAAGTCTGTCAGAGTCTCAGGAAGTCAGGATGTGAGATCCCTTTATTCTGGTGAATAATGAAAACAGGAAACTGCAGCCTGATCTGCAAATCTGAGGCACTTCAACATGCAGCCAACTGAACAGAGAGTGGGTCCAAGGGCAATTCACTCATATCCATTGGCAAAGAATGGTTATGGAGAGAGCACCCTTCATTCAAAGACGTGTCAACAAGAAAATAACAAATGAGAGCCTTATGAAAAAAATACATAGGGAAGAGAGTTCCGAGATTTCAAAGGAGCAAAACTCTGAAAAGTTTTGAGAAACTCCTATGAGAAATAGAAGAAAATACAAGTAGCCATTTGGCATTTTCATTAGGATACAAGAAGACACTACAGCTTCTATGAAAATAGGAATAAAAATATCTTACTCTTTTCCTTTGTATGTATAGACAATTTTTAAAATTAATTAGCATGTACTACTTTCATGACCAAGAAAACATTAAAAAATCAATATATTACAATGTTCTACTAATCACCTGAAAATTATTACATTAACAATACTGACAACAGCCCTAGCTGGTTTGGCTCAGGGGATAGAGCGTCGGCCTGCAAACCGAAAGGTCCTGGGTTTGATTCCGGTCAAGGGCATGTACCTCCGTTGCAGGTTCAATCCCTGGCCCAGGTCAGAGTGCGTGCTGGAGACAACCAATTGATATGTCTCTCTCACATTGATGTGAGAGAGACATATCAATTATGTCTCTTGTAATTAGTGGTGGTAATCTTATTCTCTTTTCCTACACTATCTCTTTTCCTACACTATCTCTTTTTCTATCTCTCCCTCTCCCACTCTCTCTAAAAATCAATGGAAAAGTATCCTCAGGTGAGGATTAACTATATATATATATATATATATATATATATATATATATATATATATATATATATATAATTAAAAAAATAAAGTTGTATCTTAAAAAAGAAAAAAAGAAAAAAGAATGCCCAGTTTACTTACTATACAGCATCTCAACTTTTAAAACGGCTATAGAATTTGCTACAAATTTGGGTCCTTCCATATTTTGTGTGGAACAATGCTAAATCTATGCTCAAGGTTGGCTTAATCAACTGCTCCAATGGTGGGCCCAGAGGAGGCACCATTACAAGAAAAGACCCCACCACCAGGGATCCCTCAGGCATTCCTCCTAGCAGGCCTCCTGCACTCTGGTACAAGTTGGTAATGATGGGGTTGCAGGCTTTTTCCAATTCTTTCTGCTGAAGTTCAGATTCTTCTATTTCTGCGGTCTGGTTCTTAACAAGCCATTTGATGATTTCATCGCACTTGTCAAGAATCTTCTGTTTGTCCTCACCATTGATCTTGCCTTGAAATATTTAATCTTCAACAGTTATTTTGTTGTTGAATGAATAGGATTCAAGTGAATTCTTGGAAGACACCTTGTCCTGCTGCTTCTCATCTTCAGCTTTGTATTTCTCAGCTTCCTGGACCATTCACTCAATGTCTTCCTTGCTCAGACAACCCTTGTAATTAGTGGTGGTAATCTTATTCTCTTTTCCTACACTATTATCCATAGCAGAGACACTGAGGATCCCAATTGCATTGATATAAAAAATAGCCCAACTCGTTTGACTCAGTGCTTGAATGTCAATCTATGAACCAGGAGGTCACAATTTGATTCCTGAGCAGGGCACATGCCCTGGTTACAGGCTCCATCTCTATCTAAATGGGTGACCCCAGTTGTAGATCTGATCTCAAAGATTCCATCTTCAATTGTGAGAATTGACACATTAAAAGTGCCACCTCTCAATTTAAAGATCAGCATGTTTCTTTCAGCTCCAACCTTTCTGTCTAAGCTAAGCCATAAGCAAGGAGGCAGCCAATGAATAATTTTTCTCTCATCATTGAAGTTTCTATCTCTCTCTCCCTCTCTCTTCCTCTCTGAAATCAATTTAAAAAGTGTACTTTTAAAAAATATATCAAAAGTAACTTCAATCTAAGTAACACAATAAGGTGCAGGAGGTATGTCAATGAGTTCAAACTTGCTAAGCAAGTTGCTATCCTTGATCATGGCACACTCACCTGCATAAACCTGAATGAGCACACCAGGCTGGTTGTCAGAGTAGACAAGGAAGGTCTGTGTCTGCTTGGTAGGAATGGTAGTATTGTGTTTGATGAGGTCATGACTCCACTAGCAGTCTCAATGCCAAGGAAAAGAGGAGTGACACCCAATAGCAGTAAATCTTGAACATGTTCAGATTGTCTTCAGAGAGGATGGCTGCCTGGATAGTTACACCATAGGCACCAGCCTCATCGGAGTTGATACTCTTATTCAACTCTTTTCTACTGAAGAAGTCCTATAGGAGTTTCTGAATCTTGGGAATATGGGTAGAATCATCCACCAGGACAATATCATAAATCTGGGACTAGTCAAGCTTGGCATCCTAACGGGCTTTTTCTACAGGGTCTAGGGTGCAGTGAAGAAGGTCAGCATTCAAGTGTTCAAATTGGACATGGGTGATAGAGATATAAAAGTTGATTCCTTCATAAAGCGAATCAATCTCAATACTGGCCTGGGTGCTGGAAGAGAGTGTATGCTTAGCACATTCAAAAGCAGGACGAAGGCTACAGAAAGCCCCTTGTTTTCACTGTTATCCTTCTTATGCTTGCACTTGAACTCTGCAATAAAGTGGTTAACCATTCAGTTGTCAAGTCTTCTTTACCTAAGTGGGTGTCCCCAGCTGTAGATTTGACCTCAAAGATTCCAAAGATTAATTGTGAGAACTGACACATCGAAAGTGCCACATTCCAATGTAAAGATCAACTTGCTTCTTTCAGCTCCAACCTTTCTGTCTAAGCTACAAACAATAGCAGTGGCAGTTGTCTCGTTGATGATTCTAAGTACATTGAGACCAGCAAGAGTTCCAGCGTCACTGGTAGCCTGACTCAGAGTAAATGAAGTAAGCATGTACTGTAACATCAGCATTGGTAACAGTCTTCATCTTCTGGATAGAAACTTTTTGTCTCTCTCATGTATTCTCTTTGGACCTTGGGCCTACCAGCATCACTCTCCACCATGAAGGGCCAATGTTTCATATCAGATTGGACAACAGCATCATCAAATCTATATCCAATCAAGGGCTTAACATCACAAACTGTGTTGGTAGGATTCATTACAACTCAATTTTTGCAGCATCACTAATCGTTTGGTGTCAATAAAGGTGACAAAACTTGGGGTGGTTCGTTTCTTTGATCATTGGTAGTTATTTCCAATTTTCCGTGCTGGAAGACACCCCTACAAGAGTAGGTGGTGCCAAGATCAATGCCAACTGCAGGTCCCTTAAACATGGTTGCTTGAGTGTATGCATGACCTGATCAGAACAGCTCCCCCTGCTTTTAATGGGGAGAGGAGGATCTATATTCTTATAAAAAATTCTTTACTTAGCATATTATCAGGTGAACTACTTACATCCACTATAAAATCTTCAGCCTTCAGTTCAACGTCTAGGATAATTACATCAGGTTTCGCATTGGCAATATCTTGTGGAAACTTTTCAACAATTTCCTAGAAAAGACAAGACTCTCCATGTTAGAACTCCAGTTCTTCACATTTAAGTCTTGTGCCATGAAGAGTTTCTCTCTTTGAAAATGGCATTTTAGCACCATGTGACCAGTGCCTAGTAAATTGGACAGCACAATTCTATATTTTCCCTCTTTTACTCACATTTTCCCCATCTCTACCTGAACCAACAGAAAACAGTATATTACAAAATAGTGCTATGTAAGGGCCCTTTATGTCTAATTATCTACTAATTTGGATCATGCAGGAAACATTAGAAATATGCTTATACATCCTTTAATAAAATCATGGTAATTTTTATAACAGGATTTTCACATAAAAAAAAAAATCTGGCATTAACTTATTAGAAAAACCAGAGGCACCCAAGGAAGTATTAAAAGCAAGGTGTGGTTATCAGTATGGTTCGTGTTATTCATTTTTTGGTGAAAAGTAAAATCTTCAACACGCAGGAGAGGAAAATAGATATATAAACTAAAAAAGATAGGCGCATGTCATTAGGGAGAAACTGTGAAAGAAGTTAAGTAGTAGCAGGTCCTTAGAGTTTCAGTGAAGCTCATGGAGATTCCTTATTTTGAGGGTCCCTTTCACTTCCAGGATGACAGCGTAAATTAGTCTTGGCTTTTAATCCTGCCTCACTACCTGTGTTTCCAGAGGCAAGTTATTTAATCGCTTCCCAAGCCTCAATTTCTTCATCTACAGGACAGACCTAAGAATACTGTATTGATGTAAATGAGATTAAATGAGAATAAATGTAAAGAGCTTAAGAACAGAATCATCGTATGTGACAGGTAAATGGTTTTCCTCATGGAAGACAAAGGACCTTTCACTAATGGGAAGAGGCTTGACAACTCAACTTACCTTTATAATTTTCCCATCTTCTGTCTGAGTCTCACCCACATACTTGTATAGATTACGGCGTTCAATTTTTTCTAAAATCTCTCGTGCAGCAGCCAAATTAGGATCAGCAGAGTGTAAAATCTCCAGGAAAATGTTATCTGCAAATTTGAAAAATTGTTACATTAAAATGGAAAAAAAAAAAACAGACACACAAAAAAACACAAGATTTATAATAGTACATCTACACAATGGAATATTACGCTGTGGTAAAAAAGGAATTCTTACCATTTGCAACAGCATGGAAGGAACTGGAGAGCATTATTCTAAGTGAAATAAGATTTATAAAGACTCATATCTTATTGTACCTCTGAAGTGATTTCGAGGAGTTTACAAATGTAGGCACACTATGATTATAACAATGTGAAAACATCTTTTTAAATATTTTTATTGATTTCAGAGAGAAAAGGAGAGGAAGAGAAACATCAATGATGAGAATCATTGATCACTGCCTCCTGCATGCCCCCTACTGGGGATCAAGCCTGCAACCTGGGCATGTACCCCAATCAGGAATCAAACCTTGACCTCCTAGTTCATAGGCCAATGCTCATCCACTGAGCCACATGATCCAGGGGAAAAATATTTTTAAGATTTAAATGAGGAAAGAAACCAAGATGGCTGCATAGATAGACACCTATACTGCTGCCTCACACAACAATTTCAAAACTTCAACTAGAAGACAGAGCAGACATTGTCCAGAACCACTGGAAAGCTGGCTGAGTGGAAATTCTACTACTAGAAGGAGAGAGAAAAGGATACTGTGATTCGGAGGAGCTGTGGAGGACAGAGGTGCGGAGACCCACACGTGAGGAAAGGGCGGGTGGCTAAATACTAGGCTGGCTTACTCATGGCATGCAGCAAGCTCTTAGCTAGCTTTCTGCTTCTGGAGGGAAACAAAATCTCTCGACTGCATTGAACTTCAGTTCCGGGTGAACTGGATACCCAGACTCATTTGGGGAGAAACTAGACTGTATGGCAGCGGGCGAAACTCGAGGGCAGCCTTCTCTCAGAGGTGCAGCCATTGCCACGGGACACTGAGACACAGGGGTCTCTTAGGGTGGGGATGACAGAAAACCAAGGCTGTCTGAGACTCCACCCCATTCCAAGCTGAGCACAGAAGCTCTCCCAGTGTAGACAGAGCTGATCCTCACAGCCAACTGGCCTGGAAGTCAACTCCCCCCAGTGAAACTAACAACAATCTAGGTTTAACTACAACAAGACTGCACACACAGCCCACAAAGGGGTGCACCAAGAGGGTCCACCTCAGGTAACTGGGGAGGCTGAGCCACTGGGCCCTGCTAAGTCACCTAGCACACAAAGCCACTCCATCAACTCAGGAAGCAGCTAAAATGCGGAGACAAAGAGGCAGGTCACAAATGAAGGAAATGGAGGAAAACAAACAACTAGATGTAGAGTTCAGGGCCATGGTTATAAGGTTTTTCAAGAATTTCCGAGAAAAGGCCAATAAACTTAACGAGACCCTCAAGGATATGAAAAAGTATCAACTAGAAATTAAGTGTACACTAACTGAAATAAAAAATACATAGAGTAAAAGCAGACTAGAAGATCGCAAGAATCAAGTCAAAGATTTGAAATATGAAGAAGCAAAACACCCAACTGAAAAAGAAAAAAGAAAAAAGAATCCAAAAATATGAAGACAGTGTGAGGAGCCTCTGGGACAATTTCAAGCATACCAACATCAGAATTATGGGGGTGCCAGAAGAAGAGAGAGCAAGATATTGAAAAACTGTTTGAAAAAAATAGTGACTGGAAACTTTCCCCACCTGGTAAAGAAATAGACTTACAAGTCCAGGAAGCACACAGAACCCCAAACAAAAGGAATCCAAAGAGGACCACACCAAGACACATCATAATTAAAATGCCAAGAGCAAAAGGCAAAGAGAGAATATTAACAGCAGCAAGAGAAAAACAGTTACCTACAAGGGAGTACCCATACAATTATCAGCTGATTTCTCAACAGAAACTATGCAGCCCAGAAGGGAGTGGCAAGAAATATTCAAAGTGATGAATAACAAGAACCTACAACCAATATTACTCTACTCAGCAAAGCTATCATTTAGAATTGAAGGTCAGATTAAGAGCTTCACAGATAAGAAAAAGCTAAATAAAATGCATCACCGCCAAACCAATATTATATGAAACTAGAGGCCCAGTGCATGAAATTCATGCTCAGGAATGTGTCCCTCAGCCTAGCCTGCACCCTCTCCAATCTGGGACCCCTTGAGGGATGTTCAACTGCTCATTTAGGCCTGAGTGGGTTAGGCCTAAACGGACGATCAGACATCCCTCTCACAATCCAGGACTGCTGGCTCCCAAATGCTTGCCTGCCTTTCTGATTCCCCTAACCTCTTCTGCCTGCCAATCTGATCACCCTCTAACCACTACCCTGCCAGCCTGATTGATGCCTAACTACTAACCTGCCAGCCTGTTTGCCCCTAACTTCCGTCCCCTGCAGGCCTGGTCACCCCTAACTGCCGTCCCCTGCAGGCCTGGTCCCCACCTCCCCCCAACTGCCCTTCCCTGCAGGCCTGGTCATCCCCAAATTCCCTCCTCTGCAGGCCTGATCACCCCTAACTGCACTCCCCTGCAGGTTTGATTCCCCCAAACTGCCCTTCCTTGCAGGCCTGGTCCCTCCCAACACTCCTCCCCTGCTGGCCATCTTGTGGTGGCCATTTTTAAAAAAATATATATTTTATTTTTTACAGAGAGGAAGGGAGAGGGATAGAGTTAAAAACATCGATGAGAGAAAAACATCGATCAGCTGCCTCCTGCACACCCCCCACTGGGGTTGTGCCCACAACCAAGGTACATGAGCTTGACTGGAATTGAACCTGGGACCCTTCAGTCCGCAGACCAATACTCTATCCACTGAGCCAAATCAGTTTTGTTGTGATGGCCATCTTGTGTCCACATGGGGGAAGGATCTTTGACCACATGGGGGCAGCCATCTTGTGTTGAAGTTATGGTCAATTTGCATATTAATCTTTTATTAAATAGGATAGAAGCCTGGTGAACAGGTGGGGGCTGGATGGTTTGCTCTGAAGGGTGTCCCAGATCAGGATGGGGGTTCTCTTGGGGTGTGGGGCAGCCTGGGCGAGGGGCCTGTGGTGGTTTGCAAGCTGGCCATACCCCACTACGACCCAAGTGGAGGCCCTGGTATCTGGGATTTATTTACCTTCTATAATTGAAACTTTGTAGCCTTAAGTGAAAGCCTGGTCTGGCCAGGGTGTGGGAAAACTTGGCTTCCTCCAATGCCGGGGGCAACCCTAGCCTCCTTCTCTTTCCAGCTCTGTGGCTGCTGCCATTTCTGTTGGGCTTTATTTATTTTCTATAATTGAAACTTTGTAGCCTGGAGTGGATGTATTGGCTGGCCAGGATGTGCAGAAAGCTTTGTTTCCTTCATCATTGGGGAAACCCAAGCCTCCCACCTGTTCGCTCAGTGACCGAAGCCATCTTGGTTGGGGTTAATTTGCATACTCACTCCTGATTGGCTGGTGGGCATGGCTTGTGGGTATAGTGGAGTGATGATTAATTTGCACATTACTCTTTTATTAGATAGGGTACTTGAAGGGTATTCTTTAAGAAAAGGAAAGAAGAAAAAGGTAAAGACAAAAATTATGAACAACCAAGTGACAATAACTACATATCTATCAACAAGTGAACCTAAAAATTAAGTGAATAAAAAGTCTGATGAACAGAATAAACTGGTGAATATAATAGGATCAGGGGCATAGAAAGGAAGTGGACTGACAATTCTTGGGGGGAAAGGGGTGTTGGGGTGTGGGAAGAGACTGGATAAAAATCATACACCTATGGATGAGGACAGTGCGGTGGGAAACGGGTGGGGGGGAGCTATGGGGGGGAAAAGAAGAATAATTGTAATAATCTGAACAATAAAAATTTATTAGAGGAAAAAGAAAAGAAAAGAAAGGGCAATAAATAAAACCTATCAATAATAACCTTAAATGTAAATGGATTAAATGCTCCAATCAAAAGACATAGGGTGACTGATTAAATAAGAAGTCGGGAACCAAATATATGCTATGTATAAGAGACCCACCTCAGAACAAAAGATACACATAGAATGAGAGTGAAGGATAGAGAATATATATTCCATGTAAATGAAAAGGGGGGAAAAAAACTAGGGTAGCAATACTCATATCTGACAAAATAGATTTCAAAACAAAGGAGACAAAGCAAACCACTTCATAATCTTATAGGGATTGCTATCACATATGCACCAAATAATGGAGCACCCGAGTATATTAAAAAAATCTTGATGTTCCTAACTGGTTTGGCTCAGTGGATAGAGCATCGGCCTGTGGACTGAAAGGTCCCAGGTTCAATTCCAGTCAAGGTCATGTACCTTGGTTGCAGGCATATCCCCAGTAGAGGGTATGCAGGAGGCAGCTGGTCAATGTTTCTCTGTCATCGATGTTTCTAGCTCTCTATCCCTCTCTCTTCCTCTCTGTAAAAAATCAATAAAATATATATATATTTAAAAACAAACAAAAAATCAGACTGTCAAATTACAGCGGGAAGGTTAGGGAGAGGTGGGGGAGATAAGAAATCAACTGAAGGACTTGTATGCATGAATATAAGCATAACCAATGGAAGCAAAACATTGGTGGGTCAGGGCATGTATGGGAGTGGAGAGGGGGGACGATGGTAAGATATGTACACATATAATACCATAATAATAATAATAATAATAATAATAATAATAACCAATAGTACAGACTGGGCTCTTGGGATGACAGCAGGAAGATGGTGACCCTCAGGGGCAGGTTGGGAGCCAGGAGGCAGAGGGGAGCACAAGCAGCCTGGGCAGCACATGAGTGAAAGTAGTGCTTTCTTCTGACCTTGCCATCCCTGCTCCTTTGGGCCTTCATGGACCCATTCTTTGTTTGTAAAGGTAAACCAAGGGAAGGAGACACAGGGAGGTTTTATGCCTACCCGGCCTGTCTGGACAGAAAAGACTGTAATTTTTTTCAATAGGAAGATGAAAAGTTGTCAGGTGCTAGACTTGCTGCCCGTGAAGCTCATAACGAAAGAGGTCAGCCTCCTCTCTCCCAAACGCGGTGTACGCAAAGGTATCTGAAGTACATGGGGCTGCCACTGTCTCAGAGAAAGTTTGGTCCAATACGTTAGCAGTGGACTGGGAGAAGCATCGTGACACCACGTCATAAGTGACATTTCTGTCACCCAATTAAAAAGGCCCGGTCAGCTCCTCTCTCCCTTGCAAAACAAGAAGACAAACGCACAGCATTCGTTTGCTGATAGGAGCCGTCAGTTCTTGATAGACCTACTTTCTACCCTTGTGTTCAGAAGAGTGCTATGTGTTGAAACACCAAGGTTGCAGTCTTAGAGGAGAACATAGGCGGTAAAATCTCAGACATCTCATGTAGCAATCCGTTTACCGATACATTTCCTAGGGCAAAGGAAACTAAGGAGAAACTAAACAAATAGGACTACATCAAAATAAGAAGCTTTTGCACAGCAAAAGAAACTACCATCAAAATGAAAAGGGAGCCCACTGTATGGGAGAACATATTTGCCAAAGATACATCTGATAAGGGGTTAATATCCAAAATATATAAAGTTCCTATTCAACTCAACAAAAGGAAGATAAAAAACCCAATTAAAAAAGTGGGCAGAAGACCTGAATAGACATTTCTCCAAGGAGAACATAAAAATGGTCAAGAGACATGAAAAAATGCTCAGAGAAATGCAAATTAAAACCACAATGATGTATCACCTCACACTGATCAGAATGGTTATTGTCAAAAAATCAACAAACAGCACATGTTGGTGAGGATGTGGAGAAAAGGGAAAACTAGTCCACTGCTGGTGGGAGTGCAGATTGGTGCAGCCACTATGGAAAACAACGTGAAGTTTCCTCAAAAAATAAAAAATGGAACTTCCATTTGATTCAGCAAACCCACTTTTGAGAATATATTCTAAAAAAAAACCCCAAAACACCAATCAGAAAGAATATATGCACCCCATGTTCATAGCAGCATCAAGTGTCCATCAATAGATAAATGGATAAAAGGCTATAAGACATTTACACTATGGAATACTATGCAGCTATAAAAAAAAGGGATCTCTTACCCTTTGAGACAACATGAATGGACCTGGAAAATATTATGCTAAGTGAAATATGCCAATATGAGAAAGACAAATATCACATGATCTCACTTATTTGTGGAATCAAATGAATAAAATGAATTGACCAACAAAATAAGACCTGAAGCATGGAGGCATGGAACAGACTGACAAACCTCGATGTGGGGTTTTGGGGGGAAGAGAAGACATAAACCAAAGAACTTATGTATGCATAGCCCATGGACATGGACAATAGGGTAGTGAAGACCTGGGGGGTGGGTAGAAGCGGGAAGGAAGGATGTAAAAGGGACGGGGAAATTGAAGATATTGGTAATACTACCAACAATAAAAAATACATTAAAAAATAAATAAAGTTATTATTGATTAAAAAATGAAACAAAGCATCACCTGCTTCATTATGAAAAGTTAAAAAATAAATATCTCCAGGTTACTAAACAGTTTTATAATCTCTTCTTTTATTCCCATCAATATAACAAAGGAAGACTAATTTATCTACTATAATATATTAAAACAAAACAGATAATTTAGATATATTTTATTCTCTTAACTGTGTCTTCAATCCAGCCTAGATTCATTAACAATCAAGAAGCAAACTTGTCACATTATAGACCTTAAATATTGATATACACAGTGTTCTCAGTATAAAAATACATTTAATATGGGGAATCACTATTTTACTTCTAAATTTTTATTGTTATGACTGGAAAATGACTAAAAAGTTATAAGTGTCAGAGAAACTCTATGAATTGAACTAGAAGTATATTTTTAAAGAACAACATATACATTTTTTTATGTAAAAATTTTCCTATATTCTGTTTCTTTTAATGATATTTATTGAAATGTATGGTAAATCTGCCAAGTTCAATAATAAAAATTTGGGCTTATATTTTGTATATTTCTCCCCCACCTGCTCCAACCCCCTGGCCATTACATTTTCCTAGTAATTCGTTTTTATGCTATTTTTACAAAAGTATCAAGCTGCGCGAGGTTGGAAATGAAGAATGATGGAGAGAAACTGGTTTAGGTTTCACTCTGGCAGTGTGCTGCAGAAAGAATCTATAATAGCAGTCTACACTTTAACACATTAAAGAACCAATTGTGACACCTTCACCTCTCTCCTCCCACACTAAGCTGCAGATTTTGGGTTTGTTAAGTATGCAAAAATGTTCTTGGCATACTGTGTTTTGCAACAAAAATAATGTTAAAAGGGTGAATCAGTTTTTTGGCATTTGTCTGATTTATTAGTCCAGCTACAGTATAGATTAATCATAAATATTGAGTTCTTATATGCCATGTACCATACTAAGTGCTATGCGTTATTTAAGCATTATAACAAAAGTATATGTTAGGTATTATTACTCCTATTTTATAGATGAGGAATGTATAGTTCAGAAAAGTTAAATGGTTTTTATTGAAGTTATCTTGTTAGTACAAAGCAGAGATAAAACTCATATCCAAAAGTATAAAATCACTTAAGAAGCTAAATCCATTGGAATGTTTGAAAAAGAATCCATTTGCAATCCAGGGACAGAGTATATTTTATCTGAGATGGACCAATCTATGTTACCTTCTAGTTCTTACCTGTCAGCTTAGTGAAGGCTTCCATGTCATCAATTGCTGTGGAAATTCGACATTTTTTCCCTCCAGTACCTGCAATCTCTATGTAGGGGTCTGCTTTGAGGAAAGCATCTGAAATCCTAAAGATCATTTAATAAAAATTTATGCTTATGAGAAAATTTAAATATGTACTTTAGGCCTTGCTTAAAGTTAAAAAAAAATCTTTCTATTTTAGGAAAATAAAATCTTTTTTTTTTATATATATATTTTATTGATTTTACACAGAGAGGAAGAGAGAGGGACAGAGAGTTAGAAACATTGATGAGAGAGAATCATCGATCAGCTGCCTCCTGCACACCCCCCACTGGGGATGTGCCTGCAACCAAGGTACATGCCCTTGACCGGAATCGAACCCGGGACCTTTCAGTCCGCAGGCTGATGCTCTATCCACTGAGCTAAACCGGTCCCCGCGAAAATAAAATCTTGAGACATGATGTTTTAAAGACACCTGTTACTCAATCATACTAAATAAGTGTGTTGTGACTTATGGGCTATTGTGTTTACTGTGTTGAAGGCATACAGCAGAGCATTAGATCCACTGTCTGAGTTAATCTTTCTAACAATAATATAGATATAAGTAATTAGCCTTAATTTTACAGATACAGAAATTAAGTAAATGTTTATTTTACCAAGTTAGAAAGAAGCAGTACCAGGCTTTGAACCTTGATCTCTTTGACTCTCCAAATTAAAAACAACAAACTAACCCCCTGGCCTGTGTGGCTCAGTTGGTTCGAGTGTCGTCCCATGCACCAAAGGGTCACAAGTTCAGTTCCAGGATCAGGGCACAGACCTAGATTCAATCCCCAGTCAGGGTGAGTATGGGAAACAACAGATCAATGTATCTCATGTCAATTTTTTTTTCTCTCTCTCTCTCTCTTACCTCCCACTCTCTCTAAAATCAATAATAAAATAATTTTTAAAATGTATTTTTAAAAAACTAACAAAAACAACAACAAAAATTTCTACCAAACTAACAACTGTACAAATAGGATAATGTATTCTAACTAGTCTGCTCATGACAAAAGATGGGGAACAAATAGAAAAAGAAAATCTATTTCCTCAACACAAACATGAAGGCTTATAACACACATCAATTTAAAGGCATTTTAGAGACATGGTGTTAAATGGACTCACACCCAACTTTTGATAACTCCTCATGAGGTGTTCCAGTCCCTAGAGTCTAGGCTGCACTTTTCTGCAATGGATCAGGTAAAATTGCTGTTGGTTTTACTATTTGCTACTAATTTTGATAAATAATTGACATGGTAAGGAAAGACATGAATCTTAATTCTTTCTTTTTTTAAATATATTTTTATTGATTTTGTACAGAGAGGAAGGGAGAGAGATAGAGAGTTAGAAACATTGATGAGAGAGAATCATCGATCAGCTGCCTCTTGCACACCCCCTACTGGGGATGTGCCCGCAACCAAGGTACATGCCCTTGACCGGAATCGAACCCGGGTCCCTTCAGTCCCCAAGCTGACGCTCTATCCATTAAGCCAAACCGGTTTCGGCATGAATCTTAATTCTTAAAATTAATGTTTATCATTAATTTCAGAAAGTCAATTATCCACGTCCCATCTCTCACTTTGATAACTAATATCTGGTACACTGCCTGTGCAGAGGTCCTATGCTATTCCAACATTAATTCCTCATATTTAGCGTAAGCCAGCTTTTCTGTCCTTCAACTATCCCTGTTAGCTATTCTACAACTCTTCCTCCTTCTAAGTTTACTTTACGCCAGTTTTGTTTTAAGATTTAGTAACTTAAAATTCCCTTGAATTTGTCTGGAAATCTCAAATTGATCCATGTATGATATTCTAGAACAAGCTTCACAGAGATTTTTATAGGGAAATAACAATCAAATTTCTTACATCATATCAATGATGTTGCCAACTTTGTGCTGATAAGCTCTACGGTGTAAAGAGGCGCGTGTATGGAACATGTCATACAGATTCCAAATCTCCTGCAGGAAAATATGAAATAAATATTAATGAAGAATCTGATTATGTTACCCCTGTTAGTAGAGAAGTATATAAAACAAGAAAAAGGGATGGTGGCAGACACGAAGGCTAGGCCCTAGGAAAACTCATTAAAATCTCTGAGCCCACTTAAAAATAGCAAGGCAAATGAGTCTAACTATCATTTTTGGTTTGTAACTTTCATTCTTAGTAACCAAAATCTATTACAAGGTGTACCAGTTAATAATGCGAATTTTTTTCAATAAATGGAGTTACACATATGTTGATTTGGTATATATGCTATTTTGTGGTATAGACAAGCTTCAAAACTTTGTATGTCAAATTTGCTGAAGGTGTTAACATCATAGATACTCTTACGCTTAAAAATGTCGAATTTCATGCCAAAAAAAGAGCATTGTGGAAAGTTTTAATTCATTAATTTTGAAGAAAAAGTTATCATATACTACAGGGAAGCTTATGGTGAACATGCTCCATCTCAAGATATTTGTGAATACTGGTTTAAACACTTTCAAAGTGATGTTTTCGATGTGAAAGACAAAATGTACAGGTCAACCGAAAAAGTTTGAAGACCAACAATTACAAGCATTATTGGATGAAGATGCATGTCAAACTCAAAAACATCTTGCAGAAAGATTAAATGTTGCTCATTAAACAATTTCCAATCGTTTATAAGCAATGGGAAAGATTTTAAAGGAAGGGAAATGGGTGGCACATCAACTGAATGAAAGACAAATGGAAAACTGAAAAATCATCAGTAAAATGTTGCTTCAGCAGCACAAAAGGAAGTCTTTTTTGCATCGAATTGTGACTGGTGATGGAAAGTGGATTTATTTTGAGAATGCACAAAATCATGTGTTGATCCAGATCAACCATCAACATCAACTGCAAGGCCAAATCGCTTCAGAAAGAAGACAATGCTCTGCGTTTGATAGAATCAGGAAGGTGTGGTGTATTATCCGCTTCTAAAACCAGGTGAAACTGTCAATACCAATTGCTACCGACAACAAAAAATCAATTTGAACCACACTTTGATAGTGAAACGACCAGAATGTACCAGAAGACGCGGTAAAGTAATTTTGCTTCCTGATGACTCACCATCACATACATCAAAACCAATTAAAAACACATTAAAAGATCTTGCCTGGGAAGTACTAACCCATTTGCCGTATTCACCAGACTTTGCTCCTTCAGATGACCACTTGTTCCAATTGATTATACACACGCTTTCTGAGAAGCACTTCAAAACATAAGAATAAGTGGAGACGAAACCGGTTTGACTCAGTGGATCGAGTGTCAGTCTGTGGACTGAAGGGCCCCAGGTTCGATTCCGGTCAAGGGCATGTATCTTGGTTGCGAGTGCGTCCCCAGTGGGGGGTGTGCAGGAGGCAGCTGATTGATGATTCTCTCTTATCAATGTTTCTGACTATCCCTCTCTCTTCCTCTCTGTGAAAAATCAATAAAAAAAACATTTAAAAAAATTTAAAAAAAAGAATAAGTGGAAAATTGGGTCTCTGAATGGTTTGCCTCAAAACAAGAAAAATTCTATTGGGACAGTATCCACAAATTATCTGAAGATGGGGGAAATGTATAGCTAGCTATGGACATTACTTTGAATAAAGCACTTTTTATGTTTCTCTTGAAATTTTCTGTTTTCTTTTATTACAAAATCCACATTATTAACTGGTACACCTAGTATGCGTATTAACTCTGTGGCAGGTTCTGTTTTAGGTATCTTACATATAATTTATTTTTTAATCTTCCCAATGACTCTGAAAATTAGGTATTATTATTCTTATACTCATCATTCTCAAAAAAAGACTTTTATAATACAATTTAGTCATATGACTCCAACCTAGCAGAGACCTAATGATTTTAGTATTTTAACTAAATGGAACACTAACAATGATTAAGGATGAGAATTGAGCCAAATTTTCTGCAGTAAAATTCTAGTTCTGCCATTTATTAATTGTATGTCTTTTCTGTGCTTCAGTTTGCTCACCTTATATTAAGTGGAATAATAATAGTATCTATCTCATAGGGTTGTCAGGATTGAGTTAATTTATCTAAAGCACTTAAAACAATGCCTAGAACAACATTTAATAAGTGTCTATTGTAATTTTATTATTTAACAACATAGTACAAATGAAAGAACCTTGAGATATTTATAAATGCTCAGCATGAAGTAAAGAGATTGACAATTTACCAGATATTGATTTTTCCAAATTATTGAATGGTTATTTCTAGATTTCAAACTAGGAACTATATCTTCCTTATAGTTCTTCTGACATAGCTTACCTCATCCCTGGTACAAATAGTCTTCGAATTATCTCCTTCACAGACACGGGCAAATATAAGAAAGCGCTTATAATCAAAACTATTTTGAATTCCAAGATGATGGCAGTCCCTAGAAAGATTCCAAAGCAGAGAGATAAAATTCTTCAACAAGATTATGTACTATACTTTAAATGTTAATAATATATTCATACAAGTATTTTATTTGTTTACTTAAATAAAAATCCTATCTAATAAAAGAGTAATATGCAAATTGACCATCACTCCAACACACAAGATGGCCACCCCCCTGTGGACACAAGATGGCCGCCACCACAAGATGGCTGGCAGGGAAGGGCAGTTGTGGGCAATCAAGCCTGCAGGGGAGGACAGTTGGGGGCAACCAGGCTGGCAAGGAAGGGCAGTTAGGGATGGCCAGGCCAGCAGGAGAGGGCAGTCGGGGTGACCAGGCCTGTAGGAGAGAACAGTTAAGGGCGACCAGGTTGGCAGGGGAGGACAGTTAGGGGCAATCGGGCCGGTAGGGGAGCAGTTAGGCATCAATCAGGCTGGCATGGGAGTGGTTAGGGGATGATCAGGTTGGCAGGCAGAAGCAATTAGGAGCAATCAGGCAAGCAGGCAGGTGAGTGGTTGGGAACCAGCAGTCCTAGATTGTGAGAGGAATATACAACTGCTCATTTAGGCCCGATCCCATTAGGATCGGGCCTAAACAGGCAGTCGAACATCCTTCAAGGGGTCCCAGATTGGAGAGGGTGCAGGCTGGGCTGAGGGACACCCCCAAACCCCGTGCATGAATTTCGTGCACTGGACCTCTAATAAATGTGTGTGTGTGTGTGTGTGTGTGTGTGTGTGTGTGTGTGTGTATGAAAAAAACCAAAACCTTTATTAACATTTAAAGTATAGTATATGGCATACAAAGATTTTTAACAAACTTCTCTCTGGAGTGTTCGGTACATACCTGGCAAAATAATCCCATTTGTCCACATCAATGCCATTTCTTTTATTGGCCACTATCTCATAAAGGAAGCTTTTCTCTTTAGGACGGCCTTTATATGGCCACTGAAAGACAAGAAAAATCACTCAAAGTGTTAGGATAAAAAACAGACCCAGCGCAGCCAGTTTGGCTCAATGGATAGAGTGTCAGCCTGAAGACTGAAGAGTTCTGGGTTCGATTCTGGTCAAGGGCACATACCTTGGTTGCAGGCTTCTCAGTCCTGGTCATGGTGCATGCAGGAGGCAACAGATCGATGTATCTCTCTCACTTTGATGTTTCTCTCTGTTTCCCCCTTTCCTTTCTACTCTCTCTAAAAATCAATGGGAAAATATCCTTGAATAAGGATTAACAAAAAAACAAAACAAAACAAAAACAAAAAACCCAGATCCAGAGACAGAGAAGCATTGATCAGACCATCAAACCTCAGAGGAAGAGGAAGGTGGGGGTAAGAGGATTTGTACACATGCATATAAGCATAACCAATGGATACAGACACCAGGAGGGTGAGGGCATGAGCAGGGAGGGGGTCAGAGTAATGGGGGATAAGGACACATATATAATACCTTCATCAATAAAAAAAATAAAAAATAAAAGTTTTAGGATAAGAACCAAATTTATATAAAAGCAAAGCAAAGCAACTATATTAATCTGAATATTATAAACAGATACTTGAATGAGAACGTGAAATAATTTAGAAGGTTCTTTCCATTTAATTCCTATATTAGAGAAAAGAAATGCTAAGGTGTATAATATCCTGTTGTTTTTTTTTTGTTTGTTTGTTTGTTTTGTTTTTTAAATACATTTTATTGATTTTTTTACAGACAGGAGGAGAGAGGGATAGAGAGCTAGAAACGTCGATGAGAGAGAAACATCGACCAGCTGCCTCTTGCACACCCCCTACCAGGGATGTGCCCGCAACCAAGGTACATGCCCTTGACGAGAATCGAACCTGGGACCTTTCAGTCTGCAGACCGACGCTCTACCACTGAGCCAAACCAGTTTCGGCATGATATCCTGTTAATACTAAACCTCTTTAGTAGTTAGTGCCATTAAAAGGATTCCAACTCTACTACATTTCCCATAACAACAAGCAAGCTCTGTTTTTTTGGTTTCAAAATTTTTAAAAATATAAGATCCAATTATGATCTAGTAAAAATGTTTCTAACAAGCTAATGATTGCATTCACACATAAAAATAATACTATCTTTTAAAGTAGTTACACATCTACCCTAAGTGATATGCATCAAAGACTTTTTGGAGCTCCATTTTTTTGCAAATAGGATATTTGCTACAATTTTTACCTATTTTACAAGTAGATGTGTGTGTATGTGTGTGTGTGTGTATGAAAAAAACAAAACCTTAAAAACAGAGAAAAAATTATTTCTCAACTTATTTTTTAATAATAAAAAGATCAAAAAGGAAACAGATTTTCCTCTGAACTAGGTCTTCATAATCTCAATATTTGAAATAAGTTAGTTTTGGCAGATAAACAAAACATACACTGTTACATTTCCCAAACAAAGTTACTTTAGGCTTCTAAATAAAATACTGTATCCAATATTCATTATAAAATATTTATATATGTATTTTAACTAATGTATGTATTTATATTTTTCCCACCTCTTAACTCAGTCCCTCTAAAATAACCCAATATTCCTCTTCAAACAGCTCTGAAGGAATCAAGAAAAGACTAGATGAAAAGCATGAGTCATTTCAAACTAAGTTGTATACAAACTTACCGATTGCTTTTTAACTGGTGTTTTAGGTGGTCCTATAATTTGTTCCTTGATAAAGATAACATCTTCTTCAGGGATGAGACCATAGCGTTCCATGACGGGTTTGAGATCATTAGAATTAATGAGGTGCTCAAACATATCAACTGAGCCCTGTTCATGCTAGGAAAAGTCAGCATATGGTCTGTTATAGACTTTAGACCAATAGAGACCCCAGATTATCCAAAGTACTCTTGATTTCAGGTAATTCAGAGATAAGATTCTATTGACTGTTATAGTCTTACAGATTTTTTTTTGTTAATCCTCACCCAATTTTTTAATATATATATATTTTTATTGATTTCAGAGAGGAAGTGAGCGGGACATAGAGATAGAAACATCAATAATGAGAGAGAATCATCAATCGGCTGCCTCCTGCCCGCCATGAGTCCACAACCAGGAAATGACTGTGTCCTCCTGGTTCATAAATCAATGCACAACCACTTAGACACACCGGCCGGGCAATCCTCACCCAAGTTTTCCATTGATTTTCAGAGAGAGTGGCAGGAAGGGAGAGAGGGGGAAAGACAGAGAAACACAGACTGAATGCCTCCCACATGCAGCCCAACCAGGGCCAGAACTGAACCTGCAAATCCCTAATTATAAAATAGACTATTGAATATATATGATGAGCTCTGTCTGGGGAGCACAGTTAGTTAGAGCATCTCCTGGTACACCAAGGTTGTGGGTTTGATCGCTGGTCAAGGCATATACAAGAATCAACCAATGAATGCATAAATAAGTGAAACAACAAACTGGTTACTCTTTTTTCTCTCTCTCTCTAAAAAAAATATTTATCTTTGACTAAACTTGGCTACCATCAGTTATTTCATGGCTATACAAAATGAATGAAAACCAGAGTTGGCCTTTTTTTATTTTACGGTAGCATGATGAAATAGAAAAAGCATTAAATTAGCCCCTAGGAAACATGGTTTTCTACTGCTGGCTCTACCAGTTAACAATTTTTGAATTTTGGTATATCAATACACCTCTGTGTTTCAAGTTCCTGTACACTTGCAAAAATGGAGATAATCATTCCTTCTTTACAGACTGTGAGAATCAAATAAAAACATAGATATAAAAGCACCCTGAAAACTGTAATGGGGAAGGAATTATACTATAACACAGCAATGGCTGCTTAAATAGTCTTTATTTTATTAACGATTGAATATGTGAACACATACCTTCCATTTTTTATCTTGGCGAGCAAGTGGAATAAATCTTCCATCAAACGTATGAGAAAATGGCCCATGACCTTAAAAACAAAAGCAGCCTTAGAACAAGAAAAATATAAAAACTAAGTAGATTTTTTAAAATTGTTTTAGTGTTACCTTGAGTATCAACAGAAATCAATAATTTACAAATATATCACAGAAAGGGCAAATCCTTTCTTCCTATTTTCTAAAATCAAGAGTACAGGAAGCAGAACCATATGGGAAAGTATGGTTCTTTTAATATATATTTATTGATTTCAGAAAGGAGAGGGAGAGAGAAACATCTATGATAAGAGGGAATCATTGATCAACTGCCTCCTGCATGCCCCTTACTGGGGATCAAGCCGGCAACCCAGGCATGTGCCCTTGACTGGAATTGAACTCGGGACCCTTCAGTCCAGAAGCCAACTCTCTATCCACTGAGCCAAACCAGTTAGGGCAGAAAGTAAGCTCTTTATAGAGGGGTCTCTCAGTCACCAGAACTCACATAATTGATAAAAAGACAATTTTGTATAACTTAAAGAAATGTTAATGGCAAAAAACATTTGGCAACTGCAGGTTGAATATCTGCCCTAACCAGTTTGGCTCAGTGGATAGAGCGTCGGCCTATGGACTGAAGGGTCCCAGGTTCGATTCGGGACAAGGGCATGTACCTTGGCTACAGGCACATCCCCAGCAGGAGGCAGCTGATTGATGATTCTCTCTCATGGATGTTTCTAACTCTCCTCTCTGTAAAAAAATAAATAAAATATATTCCTGGGATGCAGGAATAAAATATCAGCACTTTATTTTATTAAGCTCATCCTTTAAAAGACCTATTTTTATGTAAATTCTATAGTGCAGAATTTATGTAAATTCTATAGTGCAGATAATATATTTAGAATAAATATACACATGTTGAGGTTGTTTACCAAAGATATGAACCATCAAAATGGAAATCATGTTAATCGTGATTTTAACATTTTACAACATTTAGTAATATGAAATTTGGTTGAAGTGAAACCAAATTCTGGAATTATCAGAATTTCTGTAGAAGTGAATTACTTTGCTGGAGTGGGAGCCCATCTGGACCAACCCTGGGCCCTTTTGCATGTCATCAATGAAGGCCTATTACTGTAGTACTCAGACTCCTGGGGACTGGCAAAGGTTTCCCAATGATGCCCTCTTAAAATACCAGGAATCTATCAAATTTAATCCTACTAAAATCTCCAAAGGGACATGCTCAAGAGTGTGTCTTATCCCTTTAAGTTATCTGGCGATGGTCTGGCTGGTGTGGCTCAGTGGTTGATTTATGAATCAAGGGGAGGGGGCATGCAGAAGGCAGCCAATCAATGATTCTTTCTCATCACTGATGTTTCTACCTCTCTCTGCCTCTCTGAAATCAATAAAAAACATTTAAAAGGTAAGTGTCTGACTATTGAAACACATATATCTCCCCTTTTCTGTTCTAAGGGCACACACAAATTCTCAGAGTCCTCCAATAGGTAGGACTAAACTATAAGGATGGGGCAAAACTCCTGTGATAGAAGAATAGTCTTGCTCTAGTCAGTTTGGCTCAATGGATAGAGTGTCAGCCTGCAGACTGAAGGGCCCCAGGTTCAAATCTAGTCAAGGGCACATGCCTGGGTTGTAGGCTCCATCCCCAGTGGGTAGTATGAGGAGGCAGCCAATCAATTATTCTCTCTCATCATTGATGTTTCTATCTCTCTCTCCCTCTCCCTTTCTCTCTGAAATCAATAAAAATATATTTAAAATATATATATTTTTAACTGAAGGTAAAATGGCAATCTTATTCAACAAGAAGGATAAGTCTTAACTGGTTTGGCTCAGTGGATAGAGCGTCAGCCTGCAGACTAGAGGGTCCTAGGTTTGATTTCAGTCAAGGGCATGTACTTTGGTTGCAGGCACATCCCCAGTGCAGGGGGTGCAGGAAGCAGCTAATTGATGTTTCTCTCATCAATGTTTCTAACTCTATCTTCCTCTCTGTAAAAAAAAAAAAAAAATCAATAAAATATATGTATTTTTAAAAAAAAACAAGGACAAAAGATAATCAAATTCACATCATCTTAAGCAAAGTAGCTAGAAAAACCTCACTATCAGAAAGTCCTTTCTTATAACTGGTTAGCAATTATGTTTAACATGGGAAACTCACTGAAAAGCTATAAAAAAAAAAAAAATAGCAACCCCTTGGCCTTATGGATCATTCTAGGAAGATGCAGTGGCGCATTTATATTAATGTTAACCAAAGAATTAAAACACAACTTTCATATTTCTCTTGTTTAGTTGGATTTTTCAATTTCAAAGAGAGGTAACATGTTATAGTTTTTCATAACAACCTTGGCTTTTTGTATAGCTTACCAAGATCATGGCAAAGCCCAGCAATCTGAACACAAAGCATATCTCGTTCACTGATCTGCAGCTCTGGTTGTTTTTCACTCAGTTCTCGAACTAGACATCCTGCTAGATATCCTACACTGCAGAGCAAATAAATGAAACAAAACAAAAAAAGTCACTCTTTCGTTTGGAAGTTACAAGTTATATTTTTGTCCTGAAGAACTTTAATGTTTCTCAAATGTTGTCATATATCTCTAAGGCAACTTAACAGAAGAGTGTGTTTTGGAACTGGATAGGAACACAAAAACAGTATCCCCAAAGCATGACCTCTTGGCTCAGCATCACTAAATCATTAGAGAAATGAATAATCAAAACCACAATGAAATAATGCCTCACACCCATTAGGATGGCTATTATTCAAAAACAAAACAAGCCAAATCTGGTTTGGCTCAGTGGATAGAGCATCATACTGCAGACTGAAAGGTCCCAGGTTCTGTGTAAGAGGCAGCTGATTGATGATCCTCTCTCATCAATGTTTCTAACTATCACTCTCTCTTCCTCTCTGTAAAAAATCAATAAAATATATTTAAAACAAACAAACAAACAAAAAAACACAAAATAATTACTAACAAATGTTAGCCTGGAAATTGGAATCCTTGTAAACTATTAATGGAAATATATAATAATGCATTTCGCTAGGTAAAATAATATGGTGGTTCCTCAAAAAATTAAAACTATAATGTTAAAATATGTACATAGATAATAATTTAATAAAAATGTAAAAATTAATTAATTAATTAATTAAAGAAATTAAAACTAGCCCAATCGGCATGCCTCAGTGGTTGAGTGTCAACCTAAGTACCAGGAGGTCATGGTTCAATTCCCTATCGGGGCACATGTTTCGGTTGTGGGCTCAATCCCCAGGGTGGGACATGCAGAAGGTAGCCGATCAGTGATTCTCTCTCATCATTGATGTTTCTATCTCTCTCTCCCTCTCCCTTACTCTCTGAAATCAACAAAAACATTCTTTTTAAAAATTTACAACTAGAATTGCCATATAATTCAACAACTCCAATTCTGTGTATATATATCCAAAACAACTGAAAGCAGGATCTTTAAGATATATATGTACACTCATATTCCTAGCAGCACTATTCTCAATTGCCAAAGAGGCAGAAACAACTCAGTGTCTACCACTGAATGAAGGAATAAACAAAATGTAATAGATACATACAATGGAATATTAAAAAGTAAGAAAATTTTGACATATGCTCCAACATGGAGGAATCTTGAGGAAATTATACAAAGTGAAACAGTCACAAAAACACACTCTTCTGTTAAGTTGCCTTAGAGATATATGACAACATTTGAGAAACAAATGATGCTCTATCCACTGAGCTAAACCGGATTTGGCTTGTTTTGTTTTGAATATTGTACTGAAGCATTCATCTTATATAAAAACTGCTGTTTGAAATTTTAACCCTATTTGGCTTCTATAAATGCTTGCTTGCTTAAATAATAAGGAAAATAAGACTACTCCCATTTCAGAGAGGCCATTAAACCTTCTTCAGACAAAGTTATCAGTGCTGGCACCAAGCCAAGCCTTTGGTGAGGTCTCAAAGTCCAGCACATGGGGCTCTTTAAGAACTTGCAAAGGGGTCTGGAACAGACAAAGAGGGTAAAAAGATATAAATACAGGAACCTTCCTGTGTGATTTCACCCAGAATTTGAGAGACATTTTTCTCTGGGTCCACGCGTAATAATAATAAGTGTAACTCCCATCTCTCTCAGTGCTGCTTGGTTCTTCTCCAGTTTTCTGTAACAGTATGACATCACTTATATGAAGTACCTAGAATAGTCCAATTCATAGTCACAGAAAGTAGAAAGGTGGTTGCCAGGGGCTGGGGGAAGGCAGTGCTTCTACTTTGTAATGTGGACAACACAGAGTGAAGAGAGAAAATGCCTAACAAATATTAAATGCACTGGTAGCACTTCCCTCTGAAAGGAATTTCTGAGTGAATACTGTACCTTTCTTCTCTACATGCTGAGCCCCATTAGGTTAGAGAGACTTGCTATCTTGTTGATTTGGGAGGGCCTAGCAAGTTTTCAATATTTGTTGATGAATGAACATCTGAGTAGATACGCGTGTTCTGGATGATTAAAAATGCTTCCAATCAATGATTTTCTCTCATCAGTGATGTTTCTCTATCTCCCCCCTCTCCCTACCTCTCTGCAATCAATAAAAAATATATTTCTTTAAAAAAGAGTAATAATATGAGTACTTAAAGAAAATATGGAAAACTGCCTAGTTCTTCCCTGTTTATGTCCTCCTGGCTCTACTTTAAAAAAAACAAACAATTATCTTTATAGCTTATAGAGATTAAAAATGGTGGCGAAGTAGGCAGATGCCGCAAGGACACACTCCCAGGACCAAATTGGAATTACAACTATCTTTATTGTTAAAGTATTAAATATCCCCCCCCACCCCCTTCTCACACCCACCCACCCCAGCACCCTGCCCCAGACCTTCACTACTCTATTGTCTGTGTTCATATGCATATAAATTCTTTGGTTAATCTCTTCCCACTCCCATCCCCCATCCCCCATCCCCCATCCTCCCCCTACATTTGATAACAGAAAAACAGACCACTGTCTCCACTTAATTGTTTGCATAGGAAGCGCCATCTTCTCTGAGTTTGTGAATGCTTATCTGATTTATACTTTCCTGTTTTTAAAGGACAATCTGTATACAGCTATATAGGGATTATAAGATAATTAAATAATCAAATTTACAAAGTTAATTATACCAGTAACTTTTTCTAAACACAAATATTTCAACCAAATGACCACTCAATAGACACTTTCATTATTTTCCCAGAAAGGATCTGTAGTGGCTTATAAGAGTACATACATAAAATAGCTCTAACAGCTGAAACCAGTTTGGCTCAGCGGTAGAGCATCGGTCTGTGGACTGAAGGGTCCCGGGTTCGATTCCCCTCAAGGGCATGTACCTTGATTTCTGGCACATCCCCAATAGAGGGTGTGCAGGAGGCAGCTCATCCATGTTTCTAACTCTCTATCCCTCTCCCTTCCTCTCTATAAAAAATCAATAAAAAATATTTTTAAAAAAGAGTACGTAAAATAAATAAAATACAGCCAAGCAAATCAAAACCTTGATTTTTCCATCAACAAAATAAGGATATTATTACCATTTTTGTAAAAACTCTTCTCTAAAAGACCAATCATTTAATGAAATAGAGAAGGTACTTAATACGAAACTGTAAGTTCCCCACCCTAATCCCCTTCTTACCCTAGACTATGTTCAAATCGATTGTGTGAAGCTCCTGGAAAAACATAGTAAGCGCCTCCCAACTGTTTAATATATCGAAGCCGCTGAAATTGAGGTGTGTCGATGATTTGAATAAGGAGAGGGTGAAATTCAATATGTCCATGGATAGGATCATTAATAACCTAGAAAATTAGATTTAAACTAATATAAGTAACAATTCATAACTCTATCTAAAATTTTTATGTAGCCATGCCTATCTATAGTGCAAAGTCAAAGCCATTTAATTGATCTCAAGACTAATACTAAGGGAAATGACAAGGTATTAATATCATTATCTTATTTAGATATCACTACCAGACAGATCAAGTATATTAGATCTGGGTGTATTTTACTTCTTCTAATGAATCCCAAAAACAGAAATATAAGGATTTCAATAATTTTATTATATATTATTTAACTAGCCTTTAATAAGTTAATCTTGTATTCAAGTTAAACATACTTATTTAACACATTCATTCAGATCACATAAGCCATATTACTATTGGCATTGTGTCTACATCTTTTTCTGAATGTATCTATATAGTACCTATAACTAAAATCCTAAGTAAGAAAATAGGTAAGAAATCATAGGCAGGAACATATAATTATATAATACTTATAATGTCACTCAGAAATATATATACTTAGTAAAGATAAATTCACAATTACTCATTACTCTTTTTTTTAAAATATATTTTATTGATTTCTTACAGAGAGGAAGGGAGAGGGATAGAGAGCTAGAAACATCGATGAGAGAGAAACATCGACCAGCTGCCTCTTGCACACCTCCTACTGGGGATGTGCCCGCAACCAAGGTACATGCCCTTGACCGGAATGGAACCCTGGACCTTTCAGTCTGCAGGCCGACGCTCTATCCACTGAGCCAAACCGGTTTCGGCTACTCATTACTCTTAATAGCTTTAAATATGGGTGAAGATTTAATGTCCCTCTATGTTTCTTTAAAAATACATCTTTCGCTGAAACTGGTTTGGCTCAGTGGATAGATCGTTAGCCTGCGGACTGAAAGGTTTGATTCCAGTCAAGGGCATGTACCTTGGTTGTGGGCACATTCCCAGTGGGAGGTGTGCAGGAAGCAACTGATGGATGTTTCTCTCTCATCAATGTTTCTAATTCTCTATCCCTCTCTCTTCCTCTCTGTAAAAAAAATCAATAAAATATATTTTTTAAAAATAATATCTTTCTTAACGATTTATAACTGACTTTTAAAGAGAAAGCTACAGAATAAAAAAAAAAGGAGCCTGATAAATTTTTAAACTGCTTCAAATTGAAGTTCCTTAAAAATATATGAAATTTTGGGAGGTGAAGAACCTTATCTTATCTGTCTTGTTTACTGCCATGTTCTCAGAACCCATCAAACTGTGTGTCTGGTACATAGGTTTTCACCAACTACAGTTGAAATATTATTGCCTGGTAATATATAACATGCTTTTCAATTAAAGTGTACCATGTCCATACACAGAAATATATACAACATGAATTATAGAAGCTCAATGCTATAAAGAATCTTAAAGCGGACATCTGTCTGCTCCAACATTTAAACATGTTGCAATGAGTTTTAAAATAGCTCAATTCACACTGGGTACCAAAAGCCTGAGTCAAGTAATGCCTAGAATTTACAACTTTGTTAAACAATATGTATGTACATTAATAAAAATTTGATTTATGGTTGGTATTTAATGAGTATGAATTTTTTCATCCTGCTCCATAAAATCACTATATAATGTAAAGAATAGCAATTTTAGGCACCTCTAATAATACATCAAGAAGGATGTCAAAAGATCTCGGCGGAGAAGGACCTATAAATGTCATAACCCTGTAAATATCCTGCAGAAAAGAACAAGTTCCATAATCTTTAAATACATGAAAATCACAAAGTAGGTAATCAAATAACATCATTTCAATAAAAATTATTTCCTTAAAACGTTGATAAGAAAGAAGAAAAAAAAAAAAGATTCCTGGCCAGGGCCACTGTCTGTGTAGATTGTACAGTCTCCCCACATTTGCTTGGGTTTTCTCCAGGTGTTCCAGTTTCCTTTCACACCTCAAAAGTGTGTGCATGAAGTGCACTGGCATGTCTACATGTCTGAGTGAGTGTGGATGTGCATGTGGGAGCACCCGGTGATGGAAGGACATACTGTCTAGGGTTGGTTCCAACCTTTCATCCTAAGCTGCCAGGATAGAGTCCGGCCACTTGCAATCCTGAACTGGAATAAGCATATTGGAAAATCATTCTCTTAACTTGTTCTTATTAATTGTTCTTAAATGTATGTATAGGTCACATTAATTTCAATGTTTAATGTTACAAGTATTTGGGATCACTATTTAGTTTTTAGTGAAACTGGTTTCATTATATGTCATTTTGCTCAAAGATGTCATTTCAATAAAAATATTCACCACATTAAATGAGGATTTATTGTACCAGTCTATTTCTTCCCCTTTACACGAGATCAATGAAACCATCACAAACAAATAAGAACCTATGTATTGTTAAAAATTATCAAAGAAGGCCGAAACTGGTTTGGCTCAGTGGATGGAGAGTCGGCCTGTGGACTGAAAGGTCCCAGGTTAGATTCCGGTCAAGGGCATGTACCTTGGTTGCGGGCATATCCCCAGTAGGGAGTGTGCAGGAGGCAGCTGATTGGCTGCCTGTGATTTTCATGTATTTAAAGATTATGGAACTTGTTCTTTTCTGCAGGATATTTACAGGGTTGAGTTATGACATTTATAGGTCCTTCTCCGCCAAGATTGATGATTCTCTCTCATCGATGTTTCTAACTCTATCCCTCTCTCTTTCTCTCTGTAAAAAAATCAATAAAATATATTTTAAAAAATAATAATTTTGCAGCAAGTCGGGCAAAATGTTAATATTTAACAGATTGGGCAGTGATCTATTTATGCTCTGTGTGCTTAAAATATTTTAATTTTTCTTTGATGTAAATATTCTGTACTTACCTTAGAAAATGCAGAAAGCTTAAAAAAGTCAAGTCCATTATTCACAATCCTATTACTGAGAACCAGTTTTCCTTCAATTCTTACTTTATATTCAAAAAAACATAATAAGCTTAAATTCTTCTTACCTTCATTATATCACCACGAATTTGACTCAGTCGGATAGCATTAAGCAGCTTCTTTCTCTCTGACAGAGAACTAAAATTTTAACAGGACAAGCAAATTTATCATGGTTTGCTTAATAATAATGGTTTTGAAGTAAGATTAAAAGGAATGAGAGCCTGGCCAGCATGGCAGAGGTTGAGCATTGACCTTAGAACCAGGCAGTCACAGTTTAATTCCCAGTCAGGGCACCTGCCCTGGTTGCAAGCTTGATCCCCAGTAGGGGCATGCAAGAGGCAGCCAGTCAACGATTCTCTCTCATGGTTAATGTTTCTGTTTTTTTCTTCTCTGAAATCAATAAAAATATATTTTAAAAAAAACAACCACAAAGCCATGGTTAGTCACGCCTGTCATAAATTGCTAACAGCCTTCTCGTGAGCATATTGTAGAAACCAGGTGTCCTGAGTCCTGCCTGGGCCTAGGGCAGCTTGAACACCAGACTTGGCTGACAAGTTCCATATTGGGACCAACAAAAACATTGCCTGTACATCCACAGCCCTCTCCCAGATTTCTTTGTTCTGTTTTCCCTCTCCATCCTGATAAAAAAAAAAAAAACCTGCCTCCACTGAGATGTTGAGATGGCTTTGGAACGAGAATACCCCATTTTCTCAAGTGGCCAGAACATTGAAAACCTCTTACCTTCACACCAGTACCTATCTCACAGGTTTGGCTTTTGTTGTGACAGGCAACCAAACCTGGGTTCGGTTTAATTCATACTTACTAATTGGTAAGTATTAGCCCAGCTGACTGTTGGCAGGCAAGGGGTTCATCTTTCCTGATCTACTAGCTAATTAGATTGGGGGGAAAAAATGAATCTTTTGTTAAAAGCCCTACATAGACTTGGAGTCAGAAGCACTACAATTGGCCTCTATATTGTACCCTGAGACTTTAAAGTGATAATCATCAAAGCACCATACCTTGTGTTTTACTAGTTCTCTATCCTCCTCATCATTTTTTTTTTAAATGTATTCATTGATTTTTTTTTATTTATTTTTTTTAGAGAGAGGGATAATAGAGGGGTATACATTTAATGTGACAATGTTTCTTATTTCCTAGAAAAACCTTTTAAATCAACAGTTGATCATAAAATTAAGAAAATACAAGTACTTGCCTAAACTGGATTCTTCTTAGAAAGCAGAGTCAAGAGCATGTACCTGGGTTGCAGGTTTGATCCCCAACCCTGGTCCAGGTTTGCGTGAGAGGCAACCAATCCATGTGTCTCTCTCACATCAATGTTTCTGTCTTTCTCTTCCCCTCCCTGCCTTTCTCCCTTCCACTCTTTCTAAAATTAAATGGGGGGGAAAAGAGTGATCTTTTTTCACAATCTACTTCTGTTATCAATTATTAAGCAACAACTACATGAAGCAATAACCTCTTGTTTTGATTCTTTGGTTACTGTTCCCATAAACAACAGTTAGATAGGTGGAATTTCATAAGACTACATTTCACCAGTATTGTCAATTCTCTAATAGAAGCAAAATCTCCATTTTAAGGAATATTTAAATATTCACCCTCAATTGAGTTTTATGGTTTTAAATTTCTATTTATTGATTTTTTAGAAAGAGAAACATCAAATTGTCCTTCTACTTATTTTATGCACTCATCAGTTGATGATTGATTCTTGTATGTGCCCTGACCAGGAATGAACCCACAACCTTGGCATATGGGGATGACACTCTAACCAACTGAGCTACCAGGTCAGGGCCTCAACTGAGGCATTTATTTTTACTTTTGAAAAATATATTTTTAGCCGAAACTGGTTTGGCTCAGCGGTGGAGCGTCGGTCTGCGGACTGCAAGGTCCCAGGTTCAATTCCAGTCAAGGGCATGTACGTTGGTTGCGGGCACATACCAGGTATGTGCAAGAGGCAGCTGGTTGATGTTTCTCTCTCTTCGAAGTTTCTAGGTCTCTATCTCTCTCCCTTCTTCTCTGTAAAAAAATCAATAAAATATATTTAAAAACTAAACAAATATATATATATATATTGATTTCAAAGTAAGTGAGAGGGAGAGAGAGATAGAAATATCAGTGATGAGAGAGAATATTGATCAGTTGCCTCCTGCATGCCCTCCACTGGGGATCAAGCCCATAACCTGGGCGTGTGCCCTTGACCGGATTAGAACCTGGGACCCTTTAGTCTGCAGGCCTATGCTTTATCCACTGAGCCAAACCAGCTAGGACTCAACTGAAGTCTTCTAAGAAGACCAACATTAATCTACACTTAGAACCTCCAGCCGTACTTAAGGATATATATAAATAATATATATGTCATTTATTAAGGGCTTATCATGTGCTAATAATTTGACATACATTGTTTTATTATTATTATCCATTTCACAGGTGCAGAACCTGAAGGTTAAATAACTTGTCCCAAATTAGTTAACTAAATAGTGCCAAATTTCTTTGTAACTCTAAATCTAATAACTTAGATATATTCGTCTTAAGATAACTTTAAAAGTTCTAGAAATATGATAAAGATAGGATTCTAGACTTGATTTTTCTTGCCAACATTTTTGCCCCTATCTGGTGTGTATATTAAATTATCCTGAAATTGAGAGTAAAAATTTTGATACTATCAACTTCATGAAGGCTCATCAGCAAAATTTTTAAAAATAGGAATAATTAATAATATTAAACAGAATTTACACAGCAAATACAAACAAAAACAACTGTATTTTTGTTTAAAACAGTGAAGTGTTTTAAAACACTTCTTAGATTTCCCCTAGCTGGTTTAGCTCAGTGGATAGAGCATCAGCCTGTAGACTAAAGGGTCCCAGGTTTGATTCCAGTCAAGGGCATATGCCCGAGTTGCCTCAATCCCCAATGGGGGGCATGCAGGAGGCAGCCGATCAATAATTCTATCTCGCTCTAGCTAATTTAGCTCAATGGATAGAGCGTGGGCCTGCAGGCTCAAGGGTCCCGGGTTTGATTCCAGTCCGGGGCATAGGCCTGGGTTGTGGGCTCGATCCCCAGTAGGGGGCATATAGGAGGCATCCTATCAATGATTCTCTCTCATCATTGGTGTTTCTATCTCTTCCTTTATTTTTATTTTTTTCTTTCTTTCTTTTAAAATATATTTTATTGATTTTTTACAGAGAGAAAGGGAAAGGAGGGACAGAGTATTAGAAACATTGATGAGAGAGAAACATCAATCAGCTGCCTCCTGCACACCCCCTACTGGGGATGTGCCCGCAACCAAGGTACATGCCCTTAACTGGAATCGTACCTGGGACCCTTCAGTTCACAGGCCAATGCTCTATCCACTGAGTCAAACTGGTTATAGCTATATCTCTTTCTTTCTTTCTTTCTTTCTCTCCCCCTCCTTTCCTCTCTGAAATCAATAAAAATATATTTTTGAAAAATAGAAAATAAAACACTTCCAAGATTTAAAATGTGAACAGTTAATATTAGCAATCTTGGGCTTTGTCCCTCATAGTTGAATAAAAAGGCCACAAGAACCCAGCTGACATGACTCAGTGGTTGAGCGTTTTCCTATGAACAAGGAGGTCATGGTTGGATGACCTCCTTGGATGACTGGGAAGTCAGGGCATGTGCTGGAGTTGTAGGCTTGATCCCCTGGAGTGGGGTGTGCAGGAGGCTGCTGATCAATGGTTTTCTCTCATCATTGGTGTTTCTATCTCTCTCTCCCTTTCTCTTTGAAATCAATAAAAAATATATTTAAAAATAAATAAAGGTAGCAAGCACAGTTGGCTACAATGTGTTTTTTTTCATTCTTACCTTATTCCAAGATTATCAAGATGAGATTCATCAAGATTGGACAGCAATGAACCTGTGATTTTCTTTTCTATAGAGGAAAAGGTAAAAAAGAGATTTACAACATATGATTTTCAATTTCTTTCCATTTGGACCCACCAGAATTTACTCAGATCAACATTTACTGAGTGTACCCACTATAGGCAATGGACTGTAGCACTTTTTTATTTGCCACTGAGAAGGTCTTACTTTTAATTAGAAAACTATATCAAGACGCTTTTATGATAAGTCAGGTAAAATTTTAAAAATTACTTGAGTAAGTTATTTGCAACGAAGTCCAGCTGCAAAACTGGCAGTTTCCTCCTAAACCAGTTAAGATTTGGGATGGGGATAGGGAAATCCTCTGGTTCTTAGAATAGTCAGGTCAAAACCATAGCCTGAGGGGTAGCAAAATGTTGATTTAGTTCTAAAACCTTCAAGTAAAGCACACTCTACTCTGTGTTTTGAAAGACTTACATGTATGGTTTATTTTTCTTCCTCTTTCTATATAATTAATTCTAGTCCTTTCTGATGTCAGAATCTAGAACTCTGGACTATTTATTTTCTAACAAACAAAAATGTTTCTAAAGGTAATGGGGAAATGGAGGTGGGTGGAAAATACTTTTTATAAAAATGTCTATTTGGGCCGGGGTCGCCGTGCGGATCCGGGACGGAGGCTGGTGCGGAGGGGGCCGCGGGCTCCCTGAAGCGGCGCCTGGGAGACGATGGCCGAGGGAGAGAATCGCAGCACCAACTTGCTGGCTGCAGAGACTGCAAGTCTGGAAGAGCAGCCGCAAGGATGGGGAGAGGTGATGCTGATGGCTGACAAAGTTCTCCGATGGGAAAGAGCCTGGTTTCCTCCTGCCATCATAGGTGTGGTTTCCCTGGTGTTTCTGAATATCTATTATCTCGATCCATCTGTTCTATCCGGTGTTGCCTGTTTTGTTATGTTTTTGTGCTTGGCTGACTACTTTGTTCCTATCCTGGCGCCTAGAATTTTTGGCTCCAATAAATGGACCACTGAGCAGCAGCAAAGATTCCATGAAATTTGTAGCAATCTAGTAAAAACTCGTCCCAGAACTGTGGGCTGGTGGAAATGCCTCTTCACACTGAAGGAAGAAAAGCTGAAAATGTACTTCATGACGGTGATCAGGTCTCTTGCTGTGGTTGCTTGGGTGGGCGAGCAGGCCCACAACCTTCTTCTCACCGACCTGATCGTGACTTTCTTACTGTTGCTTCCTGGACTAAACCAACATGGAATCATTTCGAAGTACATTGGAATGGCCAAAAGGGAGATGAACAAGCTTCTTAAGCAAAAAGAAAAGAAAAATGAGTAACGCATCTTCTTTATTCAGTGTGATTAATGGAGTATACATTGCGTGGGAACAGTTTCTATTGCCTGGATACGGAAGTGTTACAGAAGTAGCTCTTTGCTCTCACGCCTTCTGCCCTTAGTTACTAGAAATCCAGACTTGCCACACAAGGTTTTGTGCAGTGTCTTCATGTCAAGTGTGTCTGGGTGCATTCGCAGCAGTTGGCCTTATATGGACAACTCATGAATACAACTTGTTTTGATTTTTCTCACGCAGGGTTAATTGATTTTTTACTTATAGGCAGCTTCCTTTAAAATAATACAGCGATGAACTTCAATCGTTAGTACAGTTATCAAATGGCTCTGGATAATTGTTGGAATTGATCTTTGCTTTAGCCAGGTCTGTGGCTATAGGAAACTGGTTTACCGTCTCCTTCCCAGTCTGCTTAAAAAAAATGTCCAGCTTCAAGAATATAGAGACCAAGTTTACCACTTCAATGAAGAGACCCATTCTGTTTCTATACCAGGGAGAAGCATCCTCATGAAATAAAGTGAAACTAATACCTGCTCTAGTTTGTGTTGGTTTTTCCCTTGTGCAAAACTGAGTAACTGATCCTCTGAAATGGGGGGCCTGACAGTTTAAGAGCTCTTGTCCCGTTGCTCCTAGCTTTCAAGTTAGCAGGTCCTAAAGGCTTTTCAAGAGCAGACTTCCCAAAGCTTGAACTTGGGATTTTTAGCATACTTTTAGTTTCAGAGTGTCAGCTGTCTAAAACTAAAGTACATAAGAGATGAAGACCAGCTAATAAAGGACAAAAGTCTTCTTTCTGTGTTTCATCAAGAGTCAGTAGAAAATAATTTTCTCCCACTCATTTTTCAATTCTCATTTTATGGAAATATTGGCTGCTTGGTCCCCATAGATTTGGTCTAGAAGGAGCCATTCTACTGGCATCTGACTTTTCTCCCCAGATGTTTCTCAAAAAATTATAAGGGCTGTTGGTGAGAGCAAACTTGTGTAGATATATATGTCCTTAGGTCTATAACAATGTTCTAACTCTTGGAAAGCGTTTTTAGAATTATTTTCCCTCTCAATAGCTAGATGTTTAAAGCAGTTGAAATCTGTGGAATGAACCTTTTAAGGGCCGAAAATGTGACATACTTGGAAACAATTCTTTAACTCTGATTAACTAGCTGTAATACAGTTCTGTGAATTTATTGTACTGATGCTGTAAAACCTGGATCTTGTGGTACATCTGTCTCTAAATAAGTGCTGTTTTCTCCCCTTCAATATTGTCAACAGTGGCACCCATGTAGCATATGTTTGAGTTTTTTGTTTCAGATGAAAACTACAAGCTACCTTAATTTACATGTGTTTCCTCATTGTAAATAAGCCTGTCCTCTTACCTGAATTGTTTTGTGTGTATACATGTTCTACCAACTACTTTTGTGATTTTAATTCTGTATTACTTCTTCTACTTGGTTTTGTGAAAAGGGGAAAAATAAAAGCTGGTATCCCTTAAAAAAATTAAATTAAATTAAAAAAAATAAAAATAAAAATGTCTATTTTTCACAGTCATGTAAAAAAAAAAGAAAAGAAAAAGTGTGCAGTCAGCATGGTTCAATGGTTGATCATTGACCTATGAACCAGGTCATGGTTCAATTCCCATTCAGGGCATATGCCCAGGTTGGAAGCTTGATCCCCAGAAGGGCCTTCAGGAGGCAGCCTATCAATGATTCTCTTACGTCATTGATGTTCTCTCTCTCTCTCTCTCTCTCTCTCTCTCTCTCTCTCTCTCTCTCTCTCTCTCTCTCTCTCTCTCCCCCTGCCTCTCTGAAATAAATAAATATGCATATTTTATTTATTTATTTATTTATTTATTTGAATATATTTTATTGATTTTTAACAGAGAGAAAGGGAGAGAGATAGAGAGCTAGAAACGTCGATGAGAGAGACATCGACCAGCCGCCTCCCGCACCCCCCCCCCCACCGGGGATGTGCCCGCAACCAAGGTACATGCCCCTGACCAGAATCGAACCCAGGACCCTTCAGTCCGCAGACCAACGCTCTACCACTGAGCCAACCTGGCTTTGGCTAAATATGCATATTTTAAAAAATTAGGCAATCTAAGAAATCCAAACAATACAAAATATAAACTATAAAATATCAAAACTTACTTACATTATCTCAATAACCACTGAAAACATTTTGGATATCATTCAAAACATTTATCTATGTAATTATATAATTTTACACAAATAAAGTTATATTGTTTATAATCTACTTTCCCCATTCAACTGACAATTTCATTAATATTGGATTACTCATTTCTTCTATTATCAATCTTTTAATATATTTTTACTACTTTTAGAGAGAGAAAGGTAGAGGCAGAGGAACGTCTGTAAGAGAGAATCATTGATCAACTGGTTTGTTTGTTCCTTTACTGTTGGGGGAATCCAATGGTTTTTGAAGAGAATACTTGTTAAGGTACAGTTGGCATGAATTCTGGAATCTAAAGACCTATTTAAAAGCAAGCTCTGCCTTTTTCTAGCTGTGTAATCTGTGGAAAGCTAGTTAACATATTTGGACCTCAAACACATCACCTGTAAAAAATTATATATTTTAGCCTCTGAATTTCAGGGTTCCTGTGAGACTGTATTATTTCATAATAAGGAAAAGGACCCAGCACCTTGCTTAGTTTTGTCATACAAAAACAAATCTGGACTGAGAAAGACTGCTGCAGTAGGGAGAACATTCCAATCTCAAAAGTAAATAATCAGCTCAAAATCAAACAGAAGCCCTGGCCGGCTTGGCTTAGTGGATAGTGCCCGCCTACGGACTAAAGGGTCAGGGTTTCAAAGGTACATGCCCAGGTTGTGGGATCAACCCCAGTAGGAGGTGTGCAGATAGCAGCCAATCAATGTTTCTCTCTCATCATTGATGTTTCTATCTCTCTCCCTTTCCCTTCCTCTCTAAAATCAATAAAAATACATTTTTAAAAAATCAAACAGAAAATGGTGTTGTTGTTGTTGTTGTTTTAGACTAAGGGAAGAGCAAGTGGAGATAAGCAGAATCTTTGAAGAGTATAGGACCCCAGTGGGGTCTGATAGGGTAGTGTCCCCAGGAAAAAGCTGATCAGCATTATTTCACTTTTTTAGTGTTTGCTCAGTTTTGGAGGCAAGAAAGAGTTCAGGGGCCTGAAGGAGAGAGAAGCCTGACTCAAGTTTGGTCAAGACAAAGCAGACAGTAAGAAATGAGCAACAGTAGCCGGCACCGGTTTGGCTCAGTGGATAGAGTGTCGGCCTGCAGACTGAAAGGTCCCGGGTTCGATTCCGGTCAAGGGCATGTACTTTGGTTGCGGGCACATCCCCAGTGGTGGGTGTACAAGAGGCAGCTGGTCGATGACTCTCTCTCATCGATGTTTCTAACTCTGTCCCTCTCTCTTCCTCTCTGTGAAAAATCAATAAAATATATTTAAAAAAAAGAAAAAAGAAATGAGCAACAGCAAACATTTGATCTGTTTTTACCAATTAAAAGCATGCAATGTCTCTTATTGGCATTAGGCTGTGGACTCAAGAGAACAAGTCATTTTGAAAGTTGATGAATTAATCTACAGAACACTACTGAAACAGCAACATAGCCAATCACATTTTGGAGGCAGAAAAAACTTGTTACTACTCAAAGAAAAATTCCAATCCCCGTGGTGGAGGAAATTAAAAAGGGAACAGGGGGAAAGAGAAGTACAATTCCTATACCCATCAAGTTATCTTTAAGTTGGACTACTGAACTTCCTTGTACCCAAGTCCCCCAGCCTAGGCAAAAAGGGCTGCATCCAGCATTTGCAAAAAAGTTCACAGACTATGCAAATCACACCACCTCTCTCCTGAGGACAAAGCCAGATAAAGGAAGCTTCACACACGCATTAGGGGAAGTTGAGTAGATATCAAGTGGATGGATGCTTGAACTTGAGCCAGTAAAGTTGCTTAAAACACACAACCTGCACACCTCCCCATGTGATATGGCCAAGTGGTGGGCTGCTGGGAGTCCAGGGATCAACTTGAACAACCCCAGTGTCCAGATTTAGCAAGAGAAACTGGTTTTGGAGAAGAAAACATGATCATCACCAAGCTCTGCAAATAGTCAACCCACATATACTGATCCCTAATTGGAATGCTATTTCCAAGAATTCAGAGATTAATGCAACAAGTTCCCTCCCTTTTGGAAAATCCTCAAGTTTGGGGAAATGGGTGTGTGTAAAGGAAACAGAAACTAAACAGCATCAAAATAAACTCCAATGGGGAAAGTGGTGGCAAGCAGGGATCAACTTGAACAACCCCAGTGTCCAGATTTAGCAAGAGAAACTGGTTTTGGAGAAGAAAACATGATCATCACCAAGCTCTGCAAATAGTCAACCCACATATACTGACCCCTAATTGGAATGCTATTTCCAAGAATTCACAGATTAACGCAACAAGTTCCCTCCCTTTGGGGAAATCACCAAGTTTGGGGAAATGGGTGTGTGTAAAGGAAACAGAAACTAAGCAGCATCAAAATAAACTCCAAAGGTGGCAAGCAGCTGCGGTGGCAGCAGAATCTGCAAGCCTGGTGGGCCTGACAGCAATCCTCGGAACAAGGTCTGGGGGAAAGGTTCCTACTAAAAAAGGGACCCGACTCCCTCAGGGCGCACGCAGGGTTGCGAGCTCAAAGCCCGGTGTGGGGCGTGCAGGAGGCAGCCAATCAATGATCCTTTCTCACCATTGGTGCTTCAATCGCTCCCTCTCCCTTCCTCTCTGAAATCAATTAAATGTATGCATATCTATATATCTAGATAGTCAGATGATAGATAGATAGATAGATAGATAGATAGATAGAAAGATAGATAGATAGATGATAGACAGTCAGACAGACAGACAGAAGTAATCTCCGGAGTCTCACCTGTACGGCGCCGGGGTGGCAAGTCCCTGAAGAAACCCAACAGACTTACCCCGATGGTCCCACCCAGGTTCATAACCCCCAAAGTTAGCTTGCGTCCTACGGGACCCCCATTTCTGACGCCCCACTCCTCCCTCCACCCTCTCAGGGTATCCCCAACTCAGGGGGCCCCCGCCCCCGGTCCGCCCCCTCCGGGACGCCTCTCCCGCCGGGCGCCCCCGCCCCGGGCCCCCTCCGCAGAGGGCTCCCCGCCTCCGATCACCCTTCCCGGGCGCCCCCGCCGCGGCTCCGTCCCCTCTGCCGCCTCCCGCATCGCGTCCCCCTTCTCCGCTCTGGGTCCGCTTTGCGGGCCCCCTGCTCGCTGCCGAGGGCGCCCTTCCCCCGGCCTGCGGCCCCCGCGCCGGGTCGCCGCCCCGCGGCCCCGCAGCCCCTCAGCCTCGCTACCTCGGAAGCGGTCCAGCAGTGCGGGGTCCTTGAAGCCATTGCGCTCCAGGAAGAGGCACACCTGCTCCGGGTCCCAGCTCCTGCGGTCGGCGGGCAGTTTGGGGTCCGGGGACCTCTCCGCCGCGGGGGAATAGGCGCTCGGCGGCGTACTCGGGCTGCTATCGCACCGGGGCCGCTTGGGGGTCCGCCCCGAGTAGGCTGTCTGCATGGCTCCGCTCAGCGTCCGGCGCGGCTCACTCAAGCACCGCGGCGCCGGCTCCCGCGCAGGCGCACTGACAGCCCGGCCCTGGCCGCGGCTCCTTTTAGCGCTGCCAGCTACTGGCCTTCTGCGCAGGCGCCGCGGCAGCTCAGACCCGGGGGCCACACCGCCCGGCCACTTCGGCCGCCGGTCCTTTGCGCACGCGCAATGACCGGCCAGCGGTCCTCTGCGGAGCCCTGGGCGTTGGCGGGGAGACTGAGCGCGCGGCGAGAAGCAAAAAGCTAAGGGTGTGAACATAAACTGCGCACCTATGGATGAGGACGATGGGGAGTGGGGAAAGGGCAGAGGGTGGGGTGGGAACCTGGTGGAGGGGGGCAATGGAGGGGAAAAAAAATGAGGAACATTTGTAATAATATGAACAATAAAGATTTATTAAAAAAAAAAAAAAACCCTAAGGGTGGTGCTAATAAAAAAGGCAGGAGAGAGGAGAGAGTGTGCCCGCTACCCGTGTAAGTCAGGCCACCGTCTGTAGCGGGAGCTCGTGAGGTGAGTTGAGGGTACCTTCCTCCAAATGAGTATCCCAGACTTACCGGTGTTTCAGATGCACCAGACTGAAAAGAAGCCTAAAAGGCCATCAAGGCTTTCAGCATGTTTCCAGTTAAGAGGGGAAAAAAAAAAAAAAAAAAAAAAAAAAAAAAAAAAAAAAAAAAAAAAAAAAAAAAAAAAAAAAAAACCCTGGGCAAGAAGCTGACCTGAAAGGCCCTGGAATGCTCTGAAATTTGATGTGCAAGTGTCTTCTTGCATTTCACAAGTTCTACAGTATTGCTGGCCCAGCGAGAGGGCCCTACCCATGGACAGGGGCTGCCTCCCCATGAACTCTTAGCCTACCGTCAGGTTTCCCCATGGAAGCTGACTTCAGCTTCTCTCTAAGAGAATCCTCACCCCCTCTCTCCGTCCTGACCCCCTGCCCAGAAGAAAGGAAGGGGACAATCTGATTACTTAAAATTATCTTCAAGTACTTTTACTATCTGGTGATAAACAGCTTGAGAAAATGGCAGACGTCTCCCCCTCACTTTAGCCACTCTGGGACAGGACCCAAAGTTCCCTATAAATCCTGGTCCATGTGATTAACTGTTAAAAGGACAACTACTACCACTACTAAAGCCAGTACAACTTTATATCAACCCGGCCATAGACCCAGCTAGGGAATAAAGGATGAATGAGGCAAGAAATCAAAAAGTATGAAATAGCAGGCTACAGATAAACAAAATACGCTTAGCAAACAGAACTTGAATGTGTGCCAGGCACTGTTCTAAGGGCTTTACAAGTATTTATTCATTTAAATAGCACAATGACCTTAGGAGATAAGGTAAAGAGGAAAAAGTAAATAATTTGCCAAAGATCACACAGCTAAAAAATGATGAAACATAGAAGATTCAAACCTATGCAATCTAGCCTGGTTCCAAAATCTTTGCTCTTACTCACTTGCCAACAATTGTTTGTTAATGAGAGTTTTGATATAAGCTTATTTTACAATAGTTAAGTCAAAATTTTGAATGGCTTCTTTGTCCTATAGACCTGTGGGAAAGTATAGAGAGATTTACTGTCCTCAATCTAAACAGAAGGGCCAGGCCGGGGAAAACCACACCCTTAAGCCCTAGAATAATATGAGACAATATCAGACAGTTGTCAAGACTTGTGAAACCAAAACAAGAGGGTAAAATAACAGATAACATACATCTGAAAAACTTACATTTGCACTTGGAAACGGCTGGTTTGAAAACTTACAAGATTTGTGAGGAAATCTGCCCTGACAGCAAGATTTCCTAGGCAGAAGGTGATATAAGCAGGTGATATAAACATTTAATCCCTGGGTTGGGTCTAAACCAATTGCTTTTTAAAACTTTAATTTTTCATTTGTTTTTGTTTGTTAAAGAGTGTAATTTAATGTCGTATTTATTATTTCCCCTCTAATCCCCTACTTTCTAGGGACCCATGGGTACTTGCTCAAAGCCCCATGGACAAGTGACAGAATTGAATTTTAAAGCTGACTCCAAAACTTGGGCACTTTCTAGATTGCCAATTTATTTAACTCAATTTACAGTCCTGACGTATTTATTTCATCCATATTCCACAGTCTGGGAACAAATACTTATTAAAAACAGTCTCTGTGCTTGGATCATATTGAGAAAAATAAGTGCTTAAGCTCTCCTCTGATCTCACTATGTTAAGACTAGAAAAGATTATAAATTCAATTAATTTAAGCTCCATTGCTTGATGACCTTGAATACTCCAAGCAGTTCTTCCTTACCCCACCCCAGCTACTTTCCACCCACCCAGATGAGCTAAGCAATTTTGTTTCTGGCAGCATTAACCTGTGGTTTTACATCTCTCCTCAACTCCATCCTAATTCAGTGCTGCTTGTTCTCAGTGCCACTCCTGGTCCTTTATCACTTCCTCTTCAACTTTTACTAAACCTAACTTCCTCAAGACATTCTTTTTTACCCATTTGCCCAAATACCAAAGCCAAGCCAAAATTCATTTTAAAGAAAGGTGTTTGCACGGCTTATAGACTCATGAGCATAGACCCGTGAATCAGGAAGTCATGATTCTAATCTCTGTCTGGGCCCATGCCTGTGTTGTGGGCTCAGTCCCCAGGGGGCATGCAGGAGGCAGCTGATCTATGATTCTCTCTCATAATTGATAGTTCTATCCCTCTCTTCTGCTCCCTTCCTCTCTCTGAAATCAATAAAAAACACACATATTAAAACAAAAGAAAGCCCAGCTAGTGTGGCTCAGTGGTTGAGCATTGACCTATGAGTCAGGAAATCATGGTTCAACCCCTGATCAGGGCCCTTACTGGGGTTGCAGGCTGGATACCCAACTGGGGCTTGAAGAAGGCAGCTTATCTAGATTCTCTCTTATCATTGATGTTTCTGTCTCTCTCTCCTTCTCCCTTCCTTTCTGAAATCAATAAAATATTATATGTTTTAAAAGTAGCCAAGGACGGTTTGGCTCAGTGGATAGAGCATCGGCCTGCGGACTAAAAGGTCCCGGGTTCGCTTCCTGTCAAGGGCATGTACCTTGGTTGCGGGCACATCCCCAGTAGGGATGGTGCAAGAGGCAGCTGATCAATGACTCTCTCTCATCGATGTTTCTAACTCTCTATCCCTCTCTCTTCCTCTCTGTAAAAAAATCAATAAAATATATATTTTTTATTTTATTTTATTTTAATATATTTTATTGATTTTTAACAGAGAGGAAGGGAGAGAGATAGAGAGCTAGAAACGTCGATGAGAGAAACATCAGCCAGTTGCCTCTTGCACAACCCCTACTGGAATCAAACCTGGGACCTTTGTACATGCCAATGTACATGCCCTTGACCGGAATCAAACCTGGGACCTTTCAGTCTGCAGACCGATGCTCTACCACTGAGCCAAACCGGCTTGGGCAATATATATTTTTTAAAAGTAATTATTTTCTTATCTGATAAAAATAATGCTCAAGTCCCTGGTTGAGTAGCTCAGTTGGTTAGAACATCATCCTGATATGGTCAGGGTATATGCAAGAATCAGCAATGAAAAGTGGAGGAACAGGAATGGGACTCTCCTAGAGAGTGACAGACAGGAATCTAAAGCTTGTCTGCACCTATACCAAAAAGGTGTGCGTGCCTGCAACCAATTGTGCAGGATTCAACAAAGCTTGTCTGTGCCCCGAGACTCGCCCCATTCAGGCGGAATACAGAACCCTCCCAGCTGAGACACTGCTGATCCTCATAGCCAACTGGCTTGGAGATCAACGCTTCCCAGTGATACCAACAACAAGCAAGGCTTAACAACAAGACTGCACACACAGCACACAAAGGGCTACACCAAGACTGTCCACCTCAGGTAACGGGGAGGCTGACTCACTGAACCATATAGGACACCTTAGCACACAAAGCCACCCTACCAACTCAGGGAGGCTGTGAAAATGCTGAGACAAGGAAACAGATCACAAACAAAAGAAATGGAGGAAAAGAAGCGAATGGATATAGAGTTCAAAACCACACTTGTAAGATTTTTCAAGAAATTCCTAGAAAAGGCCGATAAAATAAATAAGACCTCTGAGGATATGAAAAGGGATCAACTAGAAATAAAGAATACATTGTCTGAAATAAAAAATATTATACAGAGTCCTAAAAACAGAATGGAAGATCGCAAGAATCAAGTCAAAGAATCAAGAACACAAAGAGCCAGAGGATACTCCTCCACAGAAGCAAGAAAATAAGAGAATCCAGAAAGTTGAAGATAGTGTAAGAAACCTCTAGGACAATATCAAACGAACCAACATCAGAATTATGGGGGTTATAGAAGAGAGAGAGCAAGATACCAAAAGAATATTGGAAGAAATAGTGACAGAAAACTTCCCCCACCTGCGGAAAGAAATAGACTTACAAGTACAGGAAGCGCACAGAACCCCAAACAAAAGGAATCCAAAGAGGACCACACCAAGACACATCATAATTAAAATTCCAAGAGCAAAAGACAGAGAGAGAATATTAAAAGCAGCAAGAGAAAAGCAGGTAGTTACCTATAAAGGAGCACCTATACAATTGTCAGCTGATTTCTTAACAGAAACCATGCAGGCCAGATGGGAATGGCAAGAAATATTCAAGGTGATGAATAGCAAGAACCTACAGCCAAAAATACTCTACCCAGCAAAGCTATCACTCAGAATCAAAGGCCAGATAAAGAGCTTCACTAATAAAAAAAAGAAAAAGCTAAAGGAGTTCATCACCGCCAAACCAGAATTATATGAATTGCTGAAAGGAGTTCTTTAGGAAGAGGAAGAAGATATAGATAAAAATTATGATCAACAAATACGTAACTATCAACAAGTGAAACTAAAAGCCAAGATAATTAAAAAACCTGATGAACACCGAAACCGGTTTGGCTCAGTGGTAGAGCATCGGTCTGCGGACTGAAAGGTCCCCGGTTCGATTCCGGTCAAGGGCATGTACCTTGGTT